AGCTATTTTTTATTAAGAATACTCATAATAAAAGGAAGAGAATAAAACTCAGTGAGGAGTTTGATCTTTCTGAAGAGAAAAAAATACTTTCATAGTATTTGCGACGTAAACGAGAAAAATTACGGATGATGAAGTATTTATAAAAAAAACTGCGTAGAAGATATTTTTCAATTGTGTTGAGTCGTTTTGTTTCATTGCTTCATAAACCCTTCTAATAGTTATAAATATCGTTGATAATCTATATGATAAACTGGAAACTTTCTTTTTTTTCTAACCGATGAAAAAACAACTTAAATTAATCGCACTGACACTTTTATCAAAAATTATTCTTCTGAATAAAAACAACATGCAAATATTTTTTTTCTCATTGAAATCTATTTTGAATAACTTTATCTCTTATAAATTGTCGCCTATTATTTAAAGCAATATATGAATATGTAGTCAAGGGTTGATTTATCTAGTAAAAGATTCGTACTATTAAATGAATTGAATTTAAAAAAGAAAACATCGAAAATTACAGTTTTTTCTTCTATTCACATGGAGTCGTTAGTTTCCTTTTTATTATTCTTATCATTAGTGTCCTTTTTCTTCTAACCTTCAGTATTTATCAAAGATAAAGCATATGAGTAATAAAAGAAATGAATATATATATATATGTTTGATGATAAAAAAAACTATTTTCGTCGATCTGTTTGAATAAAGTACGTTGAAATAAAAATATTTATTATTAACTATGACTAGCTGGTTTACACGTATAATTGATATGCAACAATGGAAAGCTGCATGGAATTCTACAAGAGATCTATATGTTTTACGAGACGATTGTGATACATCTGATAATTCATCTGCGAAATAATCGTTTAAAAGTATTGTTTATAATCGATTATGTCATATTGGATCTAAAGAATACACAAATGTACATGAATATTGGAATGGAGATATAATTGATGCAAGTGTATAATTGTAGATATGCACAGAAGTATAAAAAAACAAAGACCAACATAAATGATATTGTAAACTTTATATTAAGAATAATTCTATATCTTTTTCTTTTAAATATTCTATAAAAAATAAAATAATTGTAATTTATATATATACTAATCTCAGTTTGTATCATATAATAAATATCATTAATGTGAGAGTGTATCTCACTCATACCGCAACACACAACCATCCTCGAACTTAGTCGATTCATTGTGATATATGGTAAGCTTAAACTATAAAAAGTTGGTATGTATTAAGTTTCTTAATCATATCTTGAGAGCCTCCTGTAAAACAGTGAAATATTGGTTTATCACTGATAAATAGATAAATGCTTATTACCGAATGTAACATCAAAATCGACCATACATTAACGTTTTTCCGCGTTAATTATTAAACCAACTGTTACTATATCTATGAGTATCTTTAAATAAACTAAAATATATATTTAGCAATCGGATAGTTGATCCTTGTGATGCACCGCTTCCTGAAAACTTTATTGACTGTAATTGTATAGATTTCGGCACACATATATCTCTGCGCCACGAAAAAGGCATCTCGGAATATTTTATCTTTCAGCCAAAAGACATGATTTTGTTTGAAAAACGAATAAAAACAAATGATCATTATATTTTTTGATCTTTCTATCAGTTAACAAGAATAGACGATATTTACTTATATCTGTTTGTAGAATATTAAAGAGAGAATGCTCTAAAACTAAATTCAATGTTTGTATAACAAAATCTGATAAAGATAAATATAAATTAGGAATGTTCATTTATTTTTAGCCCATTGACGTGAATTTTCAAATAGTATATGTATAAGCTCTTGCTTTTTCCTCACATAAGAGACCATTGTTGGATCCGTTTTTGCAATTTCACTTTTCAAATTTCCATATCTCTCTCGATCGATTTGATTTTCCGTTAAATATTGAGAAAAGTGAATAGTGTCTCGAAGCCATTGATGCGACGGCGGTAATACTACATGAAGATCAAATCCGTGACCTTTCGAATCAATTTGATCTTTCGGTGTTATATTAAAAAAACAGTGATCTTGACAGGATATTGAATGTAGAGCAGCTCCAACATATTTATATCCAGCTTTTTCTAAATCTTCGCGTTAATTTATAGGAAGATATTTTGTTGTTATTGCAATTGCTACATCATGCATTGGTTTAGCTAATGCAATTTTTTCAATCGAAGTTGAACCAATATGAACAAGACCATCTGGTGAAAGTTCTTTATGAAAAATATGTTTCCATTTTGATAAAATTATTTTATTTAAACGAGATTTTTCATTTTCAAATTCTTCTTGCCATTTTGGTGTCCATGGTTTAAGAACAACTTTATCATTTCCTAGAAGCTTCTGTAGATTAACAGATGTTACAAATAATAAACGCCTTTCATATAAAGTCCAGATTATTATTATAAAACAATATAAGACGATTATATAAATAGCATACTCTCCCAAACCAAATAAAATAATTAAACTATATAAAAATAATATAAATATGACATAACATATCATTCGTGTTTTCGAATGATGCATAAAACCAAGTGCAACGAAAAACCATAAAATCCAAATTTTAATTAATTTCAAATCCATTTTAATCTACTAATCTATCTAAAATAATATAATCAAATGATTTTCAAAAAAAGAATTCCAACATAATGTTAAACACTTCTAATAAAATAACTTCCCTCATAAATCTGCATCTAATAACATTTGATCAAATACTAAAGTTCACCGTAGATATTCACTTTACATGATAGTATACTTTTTTTTGCAACAATGACAATAAATGTGTGAGATGCTTTTGTAGTCGTTCTTATCAATAACGAAAAAAAAAGATGGCTTGTTCTTTATTAAATAGTCCTTTTATATGTAAGAATTATTTGATATAGAACGCAAAAGAAACCATTCTTGTATACTTTGTTTTTTATCGTCGTTGTATAACATAATAACTTGAAGGTGGAAGATATATAATGCTCAATACATAACTATACTGAGCATAGCACCATCTTGATGAAAAATCGATATGAATTCTTTCAACGAATTCTGACACTATGAAAGATGATTTAGAATGTGCGATAAAGGCATAGATATGAATGTGCATTGAATATAATATCTACACTCATCCTGCTCTTTAGTGATCTAACCCGAGTACTTATAGATGCAAATACCACAGTGCTATTGTAGTTCTGTATATTTCCCAAAAAGTTCTTCTTTTCATGCCGTCTTATATTCATCCTGTCTGCGAGACGCAATCTCACTTTTGAGGTGTAAAACGCTACAGTGTCGACCCACATTATTCATGACACTGATGTAACTATCAGCCAGAACATCGTTGTCACTGTGCTCTCTATATTTCGAAACTAAATACATTCTCATTTAAACAGTAAAAATCAATAAAAGATATTCATGATTCATAATTTTGGATTTTAACTTCCGTTCTAGGAAAATACCAGATTGCGTCAAGATGAATATACATGTTATTCACAGATATTAGTATGCAAGATTATTTCGAAATATAGCCGTCATGATTGTATATGTGGCATTGTGTACACGTGTCAAGACATAACATATCAATAAATATTTCATTCTCTTGCTTTACTACGATAACTTGATTTAACGATCGAAAGAAAAAAAAAACAAATACAAAATATATCAATGATGACTAATTCCCAGTTATTTTCATTTAACAATTCGACACCAATCATTGCGCTTGATTGCGATGGTGTTCTTCTTGACTATCAAGCAACATTTCCACAAATCTATAAGAAAACGTTTGGAAAACAATTGACTCCTATCTCACCAAAATTATATCATGTGAGTAACGTATAAATCATTATTTTACTTACCTTTTTTCTGTCTCACTAGGCTACTACCAGATATGGTGTCACATTTACGCCTGAAGAAAGAATTCAATTTGATGCAATTTGGGATATCGATGGATGGCGGACAATGGTCATGCATGATGGTGCTCTTGAAGCTTGTCAGTTATTACATACAGCTGGTTACGAATTAGTATGTGTTACACAATTACGTTCTTGTTTTCTTGAACATCGTTTGGAAAATTTTCGATTACATGGTTTTCCTATTGATAGAATTGTTAGTACAAGATATGACAAAAACAATTCTACCAATAATCCAAAGAAACAAGCTATTGAAGAATTACAGCCATTGATTTTCGCTGATGATAAAAAAAGAAATTTCAAAGATATCGAAGGTGCACAAACTAAATTTGTATTTATTGATCATGAATTCTATGATGATCCACATCGTAATGAAAATATACATTATGATGCCAAATATTCAAGTCTTTTGGAATTTAGTAAAGATTTCTTGAGAGATAAAGTTATCTGGTCGAACAGATTAGATAATTAAATCTTATAAAAGTATATTCTGTTTTTTATTGATCCCAAGACTAAAAGGCAATAATCACATTCACCTCTACTCATGTAAAACCTTCTCGTGAAAATGGACTAAGTCTCATAAGTATACGTCAATGTCAATAAAATAAGAAAAATTAATTTTCAAATTATAGTTCGTGAAAATTCACTTCAGTTGCAGTTGTAATTGCTAATATATTTGAACCAAATAGATGGATATTTACAGGCTGTGGATAATAAATATATGTTTCCTTTACCGATCCATCTGTTGAAATCAATGCTAAATTGTTTTTATTCATTATAATAAGGACTTCATTATGATTAACAAAGACACAAGTTTTTCCAAGATCACAGCTCATAGGAAGTCCCATATCTAATCGATAAGACCAAAGACAATCGAATGTATTTGGTGATCTTAATTCGAGACGAGTTACAAGTTTTTTCTGAACGCAATCCATTGACTCGCTAATTAGTAGAGCTAGTTTACCGTTACTCTCCTGAATGTCATAGATCCATTCTTCTGCAGAGCATGTAATCGGTGATTTCCATTCTTTGATAAGTTGTCTTAATGGTAAAAGATTGAATTCTATAATCGACGGACCTTTTTTACATCCAACATAGTCACTGCTTCTCCATTGGCCTTCCAATAAAAATAATTTTGTATCCAAACAGGCGCATTTTATACACTGTTGAGCTATATTTGTATGCATATATTCAATCGACATGGTTCTTTCATCAACGAGAAACAGACGACAATTCATTATCACAATGAAACGATCTAATGCCGATGACCAACACATATCTGTGATGATTGTTGCATTACATTTTTTCTGTTTAACTATTTTCAATGTTTTATCCACTAAGTACAACATTTTTTCTTCGCCTATCAACATGAATCTATCATTACTGGCTAGTTTTACACCATCTTGTTTTGCGAAAGTACTAATACTTTTAAATGCAAGAGGAAGCGTAGTTAGATCGAATTGATCTCTGTTCCATTCTTTGATACGAATAAGATTGTTATCGATCGGTAAAGAATTAATGTCAATTTGTAAGCATGTATTTTCAATGTCATTCATCTGTGTTTTGAGATCATGCATAATTTCTATCAATGGTTTAATATCTTCGTGTGTTGCTTGTTGTTCTCGAATACGTTCACTCACTTCAGATTTTAGTAGAGTAATATTATCTCGTTGTTTTGTTATTTTCTTGGTCATATATTGATCGAGTTCTTGACATTTTTCATCGTATAAATGATCGATCATTTTATGATAGTCGACACGCCATTTATCAAGTTTTTGACGACATTGTTCTATCGTTTGATGAGTGTCGGTTGTTTCCAATCGAGCTTCAAGTGCATCGATCTCATCAACTAGCAGATTAAGTTGAGAGATGGGTGAATCATGATGCTCTTCCAAATGACTTAAACATAGATTTTCCTTACAACAATGACATACGGCAATCGATTCTCGTTTACACTTGGTAACAGCACAGTGTTGAAACATCACTAGACAACAATAACCTAATGATTCTTCACAACTGTATGTAGGAGTATGCTATGAAAAAAAAGAAAAAAGAAATACATTTTCTTCATTCATGTTATTCTTTTTCAATAAAAAAAAATTATAACGAATTCAAATTGTAGAGCAATAATGCGGTGCAAAAAAAAAAGAAGAATTAACAATGAATTGCGTCAATGTATTGAAAGACGTCTTTTAAAAGAATTGAAATACATCGAAAACATACTGTGTCGATTTTTTTATTTATTCATTTGGTCGTTGTCAACGATTGTTTTTGCTATTGTTTCGTTTTCTCTTCAGCAGCATTTTCAATAGTGACTAATTGAAATTGGTTTCTAAGTATTAACAAAAGGGAGTGAAAAAAAAGAGAGGGTGTATGTGTGAGTGTGGATGTAAGTAAAGACGAATACTCATGCCTACACCTTCTTGACGATTAGATGCATCTATAAAACTTTAGTTTCATTTTTATTAAGAAGTCTTGGTTAATTCATTGAGAGTGAATATGAATGTCTGTGTTGCTACAGGTTTGATATTGGTTCATGTTATGAAGACAACGTCCTTTTTGATCGTATACCAGACCAGGAAGGCCAAGACCGACTGTCCTACCTATTCATAAATACTATGTTAGAGAATGACATCAGTAGTATAGTTATGACTCACCATCAAATGAAATAATGAGTCATTTTTGACTTCGTAATTATTGTCCCTCATCTTCTTTGATCACAAAAATATAAGACAGACTATAGGCAACATTACATCCGAAATAAATGCCCGTTACAATAGATTGTCCGATGACGCTCCACTTTGCGACATCTGTAATCGTACCACCATTTAGTGCTGTTACTTCTTTGAATAATCCGTGAATGTATCTCTCAACTTCAGAAACAGCGACATCATTTGAAAGTGCTTTCCTTTAAATGTATTTATTATCGAGAATTAAAATCATGTTTACTAAAAAGAAAAGAAACCAATGTAAATAAGTAGTACATACCAAACTACCATTCGATGCAGCGAAATGTTTATTTCATTCAGGAGAAATCCTCGTCTACCTAAAGATGAATTGAATGAGGAATCGTATTTTTAAAATAATTTTTTCATACATAGGTGTTCAAGTGCTGTACATCCAATAAGCCACACTCCACTTGTCACACTCGCTAGCAATGCCGGTACAATCCCTGAATTGCTTCTATTATTCGTCCAACATGTTTGCCGTTGCATATACATCCAAATCAATTCAACAAATCTATAACTATACTCTGGCTCTTACCCAACTTGCTATAGCACCAGTAACACCAAAGAGCAACCCAATTGATCCCAGTTGTTCGTTCTTAAATTCCAAAAGAACTTGTCCAACATATCTTGCTGCATGATGATTAATAATAACTTGTGCATTTGGTTGTATTTTTGACCACGGAATCTCCAGTGTCACACTACCAGCCATTTTTTACTACAAAAGCACTTATCTTTAATAAGGACATAAAGAAATTTTCCAAAGGCCTAGCGGCTTCTGCAGATAAAAACAACCTTTGAGAGTTTTTGATTTCGTCATACTACGAAGCGCTTAAGATATCTTCGAACATTTAGAAGTCTCTCGTTTCCATTTTAGAGTATAAAATACGCGCTCCCAGTAATCGCATAGAGATCTCTTCGTAGAAACATTTAAGAAGAAGGATTCTGGATGCACTATTTGGAAGAGAAAAATCTTACAGCTGCTCATATGTAAAAATATTTTCACTTCGATATAAAATAGCCAAACACAACCCCAAACCAGATAAGAAAATTTCTTTAAGTGATTATTACAGATAAGTATTCTACCGTTCGTTCGTTTTGTTGAGTCTTGCGTTTACAGCTTTGCTGAGATGATACAAAAAAAAACTCTTCTTTTTCATGCGTTTTTGAAAGTTTTTCTCTGCTTGGGTATATTTTCATCTATTACTAGAAGTAGAGGATATAACTTCTAGAGGATGTCGGTGTGAGTATTCCTCTTTACTTACACCCACACCCTCACTTTTACATTGACAAACATTCGGTTATTTAAATTTAAAAAATAAACACGTACAAAGAGCTTTGTATAATGAGAAAAATCCAGTTCTTCCATTAAGAATATTTTACTGAGATTAAAATAATTATAGGAACAGAATGACGTCAATCATAGTTTATTTTTAAATATAATATTGGATAATAGGCGGCATTCTTTTAATCTTCACTGTAATAACGTGGGAGAATAAATGCCGAAAGCCTAACATCAAAAGATCAAGTCTCTACTCTTCTCTGTTATTAATTACATCATGTCTTACTAATCTCTATTCTAAATTAAATAGAGAAAAAAAAATTAAACAACAGTCGTTAATAAGTACGCACTGATTATTATTGAGTTAATCATAATGTCAACAGCATCGTTTACTTTTATAAGTAGTCAATTTAGTATTTATGTTGGTTTTTCAATATTTACCCTTGGTATATTTGGAAATCTAATCAATTTACGTCTATTATTTCCTTCACGTAAAAATCCATCTTCATTTCTCTTATTTATTTCATCATTTTTTAATTTAATTGCTTTATCATTTGGTCTTCTTCCGAGAATATTATCCATAGGATTTGCTATTGACGCATCATTAACTAATCTGATCTGGTGTAAAAGTCGTCTATTTTTCAGCTATAACGGCACTATTACTTCAATAATATCTATCTGTTTTGCTTCCATTGATAGATTTTTTGTTTCATGTCGTAGTGTAGTATGGCGTAACAGAAGCAATTTAAAAACTGCTAAATTGGCTATTCTTATAACCATTCCAATAATTCTTGGAATAAACATCCCATATTTATTATTCTATACGATTGTTCAAACGAAAACTGACGCAGGCAATATAACTAGAAAATGTACTACCACGAATTCGGGTTTAGTTCTGTATGGAAATTATTTTGTTCGACCTGTTTTAATTGGTTTATTACCTAGTACGATATTATGTATAACAGGTTGTCTTATATATCGTAATATAAATTCAATAGCTAGTATTCAATTACGTGGTACATTTCAACGAAATTTAACTTCAATGGTATTCATACAGATAATTACATTTATTATTCCAGTAATGCCATTTGCTACGATAAATATTTATCAATTGTTAACATCATCAATTCAAAAATCATCGTATCGTTTAGCACAAGAAATGCTTGTTTCTGATACAACAAATATAAGAGCAGTCATCCTATTCCGCAATGTTGAACATTTCAGGAACCAGTTCCGCTCCGGAATCGATTCCGTTCAATTCCGGGAACTCGATCGACACATAATATCCGATACCGACTCGAAAATTGATAGAATTCCGTCCAATTCCGGAATTGGTAGGAATTCCGTATAATTCCGGAACCGGTAGGAATTCCGTATAATTCCGGAACCGGTAGGAATTCCGTATAATTCCGGAATCGGTAGGAATTCCGTGTAATTCCGTAATTAGAAGTAGTTCACGCAATTCCGGAATCGGTGGGAATCGGTAGGAATTCCCAGGAATTCCGTCCAATTCCACTGAATTCCGTCTTGATGCAATTCCCGGAATTCCGCAACGGAATTGGATCGTATTCAAACGGGATAACTTATCAGTACAACACAATAAATGTGGGTGAGGTGGATGGTGTGATTCCGGTACGGAATTCCGGAA